AAAGCTGTACTCTAGTTGTCTTTAATTTTGAATTGATAGAGGAGATGGAAAGCAACTAATCAACAGCACCCATCACAACTCTTGAGCTACTCTACTCAAATAGTGGGATTTTACAGTTACTTTTGTGATGTACCTACTGCCCCAAAACTGTGCAATTGATACTTGAAACTGTCAGTACTTGGTGAAATTCCATAATTAGAGAATTGAAGAAAAACAAAAACATTTCATAATGATGCCTTTACTGGTGAAACCATGGTCGTGAATAAATGAAGTTTTTGTGAAATGTACAATTGTCTTTGTTTTTTCTTGAATTATTTTATTTATACTGTAACAGGGTGTAAACCATGACCCTCAGATCTACAATCTAACAAGCAAACCACAAGACATGCCCAACTCAATGTATATAGTGATTTACAATATTTAAGGCTAGTCTAGTTAATATGGTTTTTAAAAACTTCAGGTCAGAGATTTCATAAGTTAACTGTAGTTTCCACTCAGTTTGTGCTGAACAAATTTATAGAAGCTAAAGTGATATAGTGGCTAACAATCTACCATTTTTGGGAGGGATATGGACAATAAGTTTTATGTATGGTAATAAACACTGACACAACATTAGATAGTAGAAAGAACATTTTATTTCAAGAAATAAATTATCTTTTTTCTTCAATATATTTGATGTAACTTATATATATATATATTTACTACAACTTAAGTTTTTTTTTGTGTAATCAGAGAAGTGAACGAACTTTAACATGTCAATTTATTTTTAACTCAAATGATTATTCACTCTGTTTAAATTTTTCACTCAGCAATTCTTATACTTGGTCTACTGCTGTGACAAGATGGTCATTAGGAACAGTATATATATTTCCAAGAAAACACTAAACAAGAATATTAATATTTTAACTTCAGGTTAGTTCCAATAAATGAATGTTAGTTGGATTACATATTTTGCAGAATTCTGCTTTTAAATACTCCTATTTGTAGTATTAAACGTTTTTGGAATATGTTTCAAACTTATTTCTAGCCATATAGAGTATTTTCAACCCAAGGGACGAAAGTTGTAAAAATATTTGGAGTGATTTATTAATCTTGAACCATTACAACATTTATATTTTACTCTTTGGTTAGATACCCAAGCCCACATTTATTTTACTGTTTTAAAAAATATTCTTAAAATTTTTCTTTTATTTCATATGATAGAAATATTCAACAAATTTACAGAAAAACTTAATATTTCTTACCTTCAACATGTGAATTAAATTGGCAACTGAAAAATCATGAAACAGTACAACATCCACCAGAAGTTGAATGACTCTAGGTCCCAGATTAAATGGCACACTCGGATTCATGATAACCTGAAAATATTACAATTTTATTAGTGCTTAGTTATTAAAAGTTTCACAGTCAATACATGTTCTGAATGTAATCTGAGAAATCAAGAGTGACTATGGAAAGCTATTTCCTCACCCCAAAACAAAAACAAAAATTCTAATACCCTGTCCATCAATTTTCTTTTATAAGGAAACTGCTAAAGACAAAGTGAAAAAAATTCCCTTATACTATGTATTTCAACATCACAAAAACTATTAAAAAATTACATCATTGGGTCAAATCAGTTAGGTTGTGCATGATAAATGTTGTTGAAACATATCCTTAATTGAGAGCTTTATGAGTGGCATCCAGAAATGTTAAAGAACCTAGCTGAATTAGAAAATTCTTATTCTCAGGTAAAGGGCATGACATCATTAGAACTTAACCAGAGCTTGAGCTGTGTGGATGTATGATTTGATACTCGTTCTGTTAGTTATTGAGGAAACAAGTTCATACTGAATTGAAAACTGTGCCTTAAGTTTTGTTAAGGGATGGTTGATGGATTCTGATATAAAAGGTTTCTTTAAATTTCTTGGTTAAGTTGAGTATTTGTTGTTGGTACAAACTAATATGTTCAGTGTTGTAGGTGAATTGAATTCAAATAAATAAGAAAAGCTTTATTCTTTTTTTTTTTATGGCTGATAATTTGTACAAAACTTCAAAGTTTGTATGAAAAATTAAATTCATAAGCTTCAATTAGTGAAATTCATCATTACTGAGCTACAATACTTGATGACACCTGAATGATCAAAACTGCAATTCTCAACTGTTATGTCATAAGATTTATTAGGTATAATATGCTACAAGCTCTAGGTTTTATGATTACAAAAGCTGAAGGGGTTAATTAACATGTATAAAAATATAGACAAGCTTTTCATAACTTAAGAATATGAGAGTACAAGTTTATTGAAATTTCAAATAATAAAAATTTAACTTACGGCCTGAAAAACCAATGAAGTGTTTACATATATTCAACCATAATATAGTAACATTTTAAGATGACGTAACAGGACAAAACCTTTAATATATAGAAAGATGAAAATACTAATGGAACAAAATGTCTAACATTTCTGTACACACTAAATATTAACACAAGTTACAAAGCTACCAGAACTTACTTGTTGTAAGATTTGTGTGAGATATTCTGTAGGAGGTAAGGAATAAAAGGTTTCTATGGCAAGACAAGAAGAAGCTTGTTGAGGAAGTAAGCTGTGTATTGTCACTGTTGCAGTGGCTATCATCATCACCAGGACAATGGGTATTTTGTCAAGATAGCTTCTAGAAAAGTTACCAGAGGTTCAGAATAAAATCACATAAACTAATAAAAAAAAAAGATATAAACACAGCTTCTGAAACTATAACCACATATCAAATCAAATTATTTTTTTTTACTACCATATCACAAGTTACCTCATATTTAATACTAGTTGATAGGTGAGGGCAAATTTCAATATGTATGCTTATTTGTAATATGTGTGAAAACTTAGTTTTTTCTTGTTTAAATTAAGTACAACAAACATGTACCATGTTACCTTTATCCATAAGTAACACTGAAAAACTACATTTGTAAGCTGCTGTATCAGAATACTAAACACTACAGCTGGGCAATTAGAGGTATTTGTTAATTTACTATATTTAATTAGTTCCTCAAACCATGGTTTGTTTGTTTTTGAATTTCGTGCAAAGCTACACGAGGGCTATCTGCACTAGTTGTCCCTAATTTAGCAGTGTAAGACTAGAGGGAAGGCAGCTAGTCATCACCACCCACCGCCAACTCTTGGGCTACTCTTTTACCAACGAATAGTGGGATTGACCATCACATTATAACGCTCCCACGGCTGAAAGGGCGAGCATGTTTGGTGGGACTGGGATTCAAACCCGCGACCCTCTGATTGCAAGTCGAGCTCCCTAACCACCTGGCCATGCCGGGCCAAACCATGGTATACACAAAAACAACAACTTGGCAGCAGGCGCTTCTAGACGGTTGTCTTCCTTCTAGTCAGCAATTCAAAATTAGTGACAGTGGCAGATAGCCTAAGTAACTTTGACAAAACAAAGGTAGGGTAAACAAGTTTGGCGGCTATAACTAATATAAACACCGACTGACACTTGTCTGGTAGTTTGCAGTAATGAACCACTAGCAACAGAAATTACTTGTTCGAAGAAGAAAATGTTTTATTACAGTATTTGTTTTACTGCATACCTACACAATGGCTATCTGTGCTATGTCAAGAACAATGACTGAATGCTGAATTTAACATTATAAGCCCTGAAACTAAACTTACCACTAAGCCACTATAGGTCATTTTATTTAATATAAGTATTATCGTTACTGAAATAGATTAACACAACATAACAATACATGTTCAATTCAAAGTTTGTATTATATAGTTCACTCTGCATTTCAAATGTCTTGCTTTTCTAAAGATGGCTAACTACAATAATTTATTAAGCAGACACTAAAAATTATAACTTGAAATATTTCTATTACACAGATACATCTAATGAGACAGTTCATTTATACCATTATTACATCTGTAATAAAGTTAGAATGGCTCTTTTCAAGTTAATGACTGTTTTACCCACACCTAACCTACTCCACCTCTGTCTTAGGACCTCTGCTCTTTTTGATTTACATCAATGACATAGATGAAGGAATAGTCAATAAATTACATAAATTTGCAGATATTAAGGTCTTGGGTGTTGCTAGCTGTGAAG